CTCCCCCCACCCTCCTCCTCCTCTTCTTCTTCCTCTTCTTCTTGTTCCCTGAAAGCACCACGGTGCCCCTTTATGGGCCGAATTCTGTGGCAAAGTTCTCCCCTCAGAGCCTCCAATGGGGGCTTGAGGCAGACGAGGAGCCTCTGCAGCAGGAATCAAGCAAGAGCACAGTGGTGAGGACTCCTGACCCGGAAGCCCTGGTGCCCTTCAGAAAAGGGGGACTGTGAAGACCCAGGGAAGGCGGCCTCCTCCGTGGGGATGGACCATACCCTTCATCCAGCCCCTGAGGGACAAACGCCATCTGTGCCTGGGTGGCAGACCCCAGATCTCTGCTGTTTCCGATGCTCCGAGCAGGGTACTTGACTTCAGCAGCCCTGGCGCTCACGCGCCCCTCCTAGCACTGCCTGACACCTTTCAGCTCAGCTCTTCCAGCCTGTCCCGCGAGAGAAGGAGAGAAAGCATCTCACGCCTGCACCTCATTTGCCTTCTCTGAGCACCAGTGGGTAATCTTACCTCACAGAGACAGAGATGTAATACAGGAAAAACCTCTACAGTTTTCAAGCCCTTAATAACCGAGCTCTGTAATCACCAAAAGGGAAGAGTACAGAAGGAAACTGAAGCTGAGCCTGCTTCTGAAGCGGGCGCAGGGCCGGAGACTGAGGCTCGCGGGGCTTTTGTGTCCCGAGCAGCAGCCAGGATCTGTTCACCAGCAGTGACGAAATGAGCTTTGGATGAAAGAAAGTGTTTGATCTCCTTTCAGCCAAAAGTCTTCCCTTCATCAGCCCGTTTAATATTCCAGAAGGGTTTTCTTTCCTTTGACATCCTAAAGGCGTTTGTACTCACAGCCTACAGAGGGCTCTGGTGGGCGCCTGGAGATGCAGGGCTGGTTCAGGACACGCGACAGCGGCTCCCCGGCCACCACGCCGACTGCACCCTCCTGCCAATGCTGTCCACTTCGCTCCCGCACCGCGGGTTCGGGTCCCGGCCGTGGGTTATAAGAGTTGTAGAACACACAGGGTCGCACCTTTCCTTCTCTGTTCCCAGGTTGTACGCATCTGCCGGACCCCAAAATGAGACAAAGACGAGCTCCCCGAGAAGAGAGCCGTAGGAGGAGCTTCGCCTCCCTGAGCCTGCAAACGCCTCTTCCACTGGCTGCTCTGAAACAGGCGAAGCAAGGTCCCCATCTGGGAAAGCGCCTCTGACCCTGGGAGGGCGCCTCAGCACTGAGCAGGCGGCCGGCTTCTCACAGTCACCTCCTCGATGCCCAGACACGGGGTCAGGTCCCCCCTGGGCCACCAGCCCTGCTGGAGGGGAGAGGGTGACCGACAACGCGATGCTGACTGGATTTGCGGAACCCTCCCCGCACGAGAAAGGCAGAGTCCCAGAGAAGCAAGAAGATGAAAGAGGACAAGGACCGAGGGCCGACTTGCCAAACAGGACAGAAACACCGAGGCTGGGGCCTGCTGAGCACAGGACAGACTGCGCGGTCTGAGCAGAGTGGGCTGGCGGGAAGCGAGGGGCCCGGGGACAGTGCCGTTCGCTGGGTCCCGGCTGCCACCCTCCACGCTGAGCCCTGGGGGCCGCCTGCTTCTCCAGGCAGGAGTTGGGAGGCTGCGCACAGTGTGCGGAGGAGAGAATTTCTCCACGGGAAACCGGGAAGCCCTGGAAAACAGGTGCTGAGCTGTGTGAAGGAAATACATAAAGAGACCAATAGAGAGAAGAGAAAAATATACACTCTGTGTTTATAAAGGATACGCTAACTCACGTTTCACATTCTCGGGTGAACTCTTTAAAAACCTGCCCCTGATGAATGGATACAGGAAATGCGGTCCCTATCCATAACGGAATACTACTCAGCCAAGAAAAAGAGTGGAATCTCGCCATTGATGACAACACAGATAAAGGTGAATTCATGGTGTTAACTCTCATAAGCCAGGCACAGAAAGACAAGTACGGGAGCCCTCACACACATACGTGGGGTCGAAAAGGGTAACTCACAGAGCTGAGAGGAGAATGGTGGTCACCAGGGCTGGAGAGTGGAGGATGGAGGGTCGGGCGGGGTAGGCAGTGGACACCAAGTTGCAGCTAGTGAGACGTTCTGCAGCTGCTCACAGTAAGGTGACCTCAGAGGAAGGGCCCTGCCGCGTGCTTCCGAAGGCCAGCCACAGCTGGGGTGTAGCTCAGTCCCAGAGTGGGCCCTGGGCTCTGCCCCCAACACTTAAAAAGGAAAGGAAAGGAGGAAACTTAAGGGCCGGGGAGGCAAGGCTGGGGAGAGGCTTGAGGGTGCTTCTACTCTAAAGAAATGTAATCATTTGAAGACAGACACGTTCGACCTGACCTAAACATTATACAACATATTCACCTACTAGAGCACAGCATAACACCACAGAAGCTAGCACAGTTATTATGCTTTTATGGATCAGTTAAAAAATAAAGGCAGTCAGGCCTGGTGGCACATACCTATCATCTCAGCACTCCGGAGGCTGAGGGAGGAGGATCACTGTGAGCTCAAGACCAGCCTGGGTTACATAGTGAGTTCAAGGCCAGCCTGAACTACTTAGAAAGACCCTGTCTCAAAGAAAGAGAATTTAAGAAAGTAATTTTTTCAAATGTCTTCTATTCAATCAGTAATCCACTTAAATTACTTTAAACCTCTGACAAGCTCAGGAACAGGTACTTAGAGATTCTACATTTAGGCGTTAGCTTGAATATATTACATAGCTCCCATATGTGCTACCAAAGGTTTGTTACTCACAGAGACAGATATTTGTGAACCCAAGAATGACACCTCAAGTGTGCTGACATCCCTCACTAAGCAGTGTTCTCAGTCCTGCCCACCTTCACCTAAACTTTTTTTGCCAGTAGAACCTGATTAGAAACCCTGCATCTAATTTTATGATGTTGAGCTTTGAAATTAAACAGCATGAATCAGAAAAATAAAATTTAAAGAATTTTATAGCTCAGACTCTGATATTGATTCAGGAACTGTTTAAGCTATTAGGTAAAGACCATGCACTTAACTACTGAAGTCTTTAATATTTCTGAGCATAAAAAGTATATCAATGTACTGATCTTGAATTTTCATAAACGCATACTAAATAAACAGTTCGGCTAAGCAGATTTTGACACTGATCCTCCAGATTCTGGGGCTGCAGAGATGAATAAAGCCGTCAACCCACCTTCAAACTGGTCAAACTCCAGAAGCCTGGTAATAAGTAATTGTACTGTTACGTGGGGAAGCAATAAAAGAATTCTGTGCAAGAAGCCAGAATAAAATCAGGATGAGAAGGCTTCAGAGGAGATGGGTTTGTGATCCAGACTTTGAAGGCTGAAAAGATGATTAGAGTGGAGAGGAAACAAATGATAAAGGCTTCAAATATGGAGAAAGGCAAAGAGACGCAAGAAAGAGGTGATAAATGTATGATTGCTGGGCTGTAACCTTGATGCTGCTGTGGGTCTGGCAGCTGGATCTGACTCGCCTTGTGATCACACCTCAGGCAGTGACAAGCACGTAAACTTGACAGGCAGGTCAGCGTTTCCTCGACTGCAGACAGGGAAGCACGATGTCTATACCCCACGGAGTACTACTCTGCCCTGAAGAGAGACAGGTAGGGTTCATTTGTAAGAAAAGTGATGCACCATGAGCCCATGGTGTTAAGTGGAATGAATCAGACACACAAGCTTAAATATCACACGGTGTCTCTCACATGAGAAACCGAAGTACAGATAAATGAAAGAGCAAAATATAAGATAGATCATAGGAAACAGGGAGATGGAGTTTTGCAAATGGAAACAGGAGCAAGGGATGGAAGATGGGGGCGGGAGGGGAAAGAAAATGAAAAAGAATGAAGACGTGTTAGCACATGCACCAGCTGTCCACAAGGAATGTGACCACTGTGTGCTGCACACGAGGGCTAATAGCAGCTGGGTGTGAGGATGCAGGCCTATAATCCCAGCACTGGGGATGATGAAAAGCAAAAGCAGCCAGCAAATTCCACGTGGATTGAAAATAAAGATGGGGGTGCTTTGTTTTGTTTTCGCTTTTTTTGTTTGTTTGGGTGGTTGTTGTTGTTGCAGTTGTCGCTGTGACGATGGGTTCATCTCAGGCTTCACACATGCCAAGCACATGTCCTGCCCCTGAACAGCACCCCACCCGGGGCCACACAGGTTTGAAAGGGTTCCGCCACGTGAGCCTTTGAAAATGTAGCCAGAATCTTACGTTCCAATAAATACAATAAGCCCTGTAATTACCGTTCAGCAAACCGTATCTTCATGTTTAGGTATCTTCCCATCGATAAAACTTCAGTCGTTCCATAAATGCCAGTTAGTTTGGGTTTTGTTTGCTGTAAAAAGTTGGTATAAAAGTATAATTGATGATATAGTTGATTGCCAGAAAATCCCTCGGCCAACAACTTTCGTTTCTCTACCTACTAATTTGTTAAATGTGCTTTTGCCAGAAACAGCCCCACAAGTTTCTCTCACACCATCAAACGAACGGTTAGATTACCCTCCTGGTTTCTAAAGACCAAGGTATCCGAAAGAGAGAGCTTGAGAGAGGGAGCCTCATCAAAGCAGTTTAATTTCCGGGTATAAAATTCAATCGTTTTATATTTTTTTAAATACCCTTCCAGATTAATTGGGATTTTTCAAAGCTACATCGACAGCGATGGAAACATTCTCACTTATTTCACCTTGGCAAAATGGAGACAGGTGCCGTGTAGTGTACGCTCTTGATTTCCGGTGCAGGGTGCTCTCCGTGCAGGGAAGGCTTTAGCGCAAAGCTCTCAACCTAATGCAATATTCTGACAACCTTCCTGCGCAGTCCCCGCGCTGACCGCTCCCAGATCAAACCCGAGAGGCCCTGGGCCCGCGCCAGCCGTCTCTCACTTTAGGTCGGAGCAATCCTTACCGCTTCTCTCCAAGTCAGAAGCCTTTAGACTTCATTTCCAGATTTCTTTTCCAACTTTGGGCTACTTCCGTCCATCTTCATGAGATTTTTTTTTTTTTTTTTTGCGGGGGGGACCAGGGATCGAATTGGGCCCTTGAGCTTGCAAGGCAGGTGGTGGAACCCCTGGACCAAATCCCTGGCCCGTGAGATTTCTTGTTTAACGAATGAGATTCAGCAGAGCCACGGTCTGATGACAGAAGAGAAGGGCTGGAGAGGACAGGATGGTGTGTGTGGGCTGAGACCTCCCCCTCCGGCCGCGCAGTCAGAATTACTCTCCGTTCTGCCCCTTTGCCAGCAGAGGGGCGAAGGTGTGCGGATGTATTTACGAGAGAGAAGACAAAGGGTCACAGCTCAGGGCAAGCCACTCGAGTGTGATTACCCTGGATGACTTCTAGGCGAACCCAGCCGGCTGAGGTAGCTTTCCAGGCGTGATCGAAATGTGTGGCAGATGTTTAGATTTCTTAAAAATTTTTCAGTGAAAACACATCGCCGTGAATCCCCCATGTAATACTTCCCCTCGTTTTGAAAGAGAATTTTGCAAGGAAAGGTTGCTCCTGTGGTTCAAGCCGGATTTGCTACAGGAAACTCCCTACTTGACATTTTTCTCCGGTCAACATGTCCGGACCGGCCCTGCCTCCCACACTTGGACGAGTCGGACCCAACTCCCACAGCGTAGGAATATCTTTGTCTCCGGAAGAGCTTTGCCATTTCACCAGAATGCAAATGAGGTGGACCTCATACCTTCAAGCACCCAGTGAGCCTGTTACCGGTGTTCTGTACGAGCCAATACCGTGGCTGAGCCCACTTGTTAATGCCCGTTCTATCTGTAACCAATGAATGTGTACCAAAGTTGCCTCACTTGAAATGCCCCCTCCTACAATGTGTATCTTGTGTTCAAGTGTGGGACGGGGCCAGTCTCCCCCCCGTGAATACAGACTGACCCACTGGTGTAATTAAACTTGTTGTTCTGTCTCCAAGGCTTGTGGTGTGCTTTCATCCTCCCGGACCAGCAAATACGAGCCATAAAAATCACACGGAAGCTGAGTGTGGTGGTGCACGCCTGTAATCCCAGCAGTTGGGAGGCTGAGGCAAGAGGATCACTGTGAGTTCGGGACCAGCCTGGATGCCTCGGTGTCCTGAAACAACTCAAAACGTTTCCCTGCGCAGTCATTTCGACTTGGGGAAGAGCCAGGGGCACAAGGTGCCAGACCCGGGGACCCAGCGTCGTTTCTACGACCTGCCTCTGTTGGGTGGCGCCCGGCGGCAGCAGCAGTCCCTGTAGTCTGGATCACACCTCAGGAGAGAGGACTCCAGATCTGCTCCAGAAAGCGGCTGCATGACGGGATGAGTGTTCAGAGTGAGAGCGGATGTTCTGAGGGGAGATCCTGGCAATGCACCGTCACTGCGATACATTTTCTGCTATAAATAGTCACCGTATATCTGACCACACTTGTTCAGTGGGCTCGCACAGAGTCTGTCTGGCAAACAGACCCTAGACTACAAATTATTCTCCCTGGGAACACACAGACAGTGGTGAGTGACAAAGGCCCACCCGGCGTGTTGCGCCATCAGGAGTCCTCTGGTTAATGAAATTTCAGGAAGCAGACGAGAGTCAAATGTCCTCTTCTGCACATCCTGTCCAGAGTAGGGAACTTTACCGAATGCCTCCCCTGTGCTGAGAGGAGGTGGGAGGTCACCAGAGGGCTCTAGGAGTCCCTCAGAGAGGAGATAGGAATTCACCTCAGGCCTAAAGCAATGGGATTCCTCAGAATGCAGGACTGAGTCTGGAAGGGGAAAACAGGCCTGGAGTGAAAATGTTCTCTTGGGGAAATAGAGCTGTTTCTTGAAGGTGCAGTTTTCTTAAAAGTACAATTTTAGCTGGCATGGTGGTCCATTCCTGTAATCCCAGCACTCCGGAGGCTGAGGCAGGAAGATCACTGCATGATCAAGGCCATCCTGGGCTACATAGCAAGGCCCTGTCTTAAAAAAAAAAAAAAAAAAAAAAAAATTTCAGACTGCTAGGTTTCCTAGGGAGATATTGTTTGCTTTTTCAAAGCCAGTGAGATGGACTTCAAAATTGAATTCCACCTTTTCTATTACCTAAAAATCTGTGCTGGGGCTGGAGCTTCTGGTAGAGAAATTACCCAGCATGCAAGAGGCTCTGAGTTCAAGCCCTAGAACCATCACCAAGAGAAAAAAGCAAAGCAAAACAAAACAGAATCTGACTCACTTCTGTGACTCTCAGACGGGAGATGAGGACCGGGGTGGCCCTGGGGCTCAGGAGGTGAAATCCCAGAGTCTGGGTTTGACAGGGGAGAGGACTTTGAAACCAGTCCAGAATCAAGGTTCCTCTTGAGGTTGGGATGGCAGTAGAAGAAAATAAAGACAGGCAGAAGGAAGATAAAAAAATGGTAATTTTACAATTTTAATAAAGAGATGCTGTGATTAAAAACTGCAGCTGCAAAACACAGATCAACCGCAGGATTTTTTATGCAATTGGAAAAACTGATTGTAACAACTGATTGTAACAAAGTAACCACTTAACAGATAACAATGAATACACAGCTGTGCGGAGGTGCGCTTTCCCTGCCCTGTAGGTGAATAGAGGCTTCCAGAAGAGCCAGCCGCTATGCTGAGCTCTGGAGATCTGCTCCCCAAAGAAACGCCTTAGCCAGTAATATCACAAAAAAGAAGTTTCTGCAAAAACATTCAGAAAATCGACCCAAATTCCAGAAAAATATCAAGAGCAGTGGCATTTGCTCTTTTGATACTTTTTTATTTGTGTCAATCCAGTTTGCAGCACACAGTGACCACATGCCTCTTGGGACGTAGGTCCACGAGCAGAACACAGCTCGATTCTCTTTACATCGCCTTCACAGCCCCTCCCACTCCCCTCCCTCCGTCTCTTGGTCTTCCCTTTTGCAAAAGATGAATTTCCTGGTTTTCTATTATCTATCCTTTATTTTGCTCTTCATACTTTGGTTTTTCTCATATAAGAGAAACCATGCAATATTTAAGCTCGTGAATCTGATTTATTTCACTTAACATCATGTTCTCAAGGTGCCTCCATTTTTCTACAGATGACTCGACCTTTTCCTTCTTTACAGCAGAGTAGTACTCCACCGTGTGAACTTACCAAGCTTTCTGGTCCTTGAGCCCTTGGCATTTGAACTATGCCCCCACCTGCCTTCTGCTAGCTTAGCCAGACAGAAGCTCTGCCCAGTGAGTGCCCCAGGAGCCCGGGACCCTCTCCCTTCAGCTCACATGGGGCACACGGGTCTCCCAGGGGGTAGCCACGTGCTCGTCCCGAGCCCCACTGACACGCAGCAGCCCGGCCACCGGGTGCCTTCCCCCACCTGGACCACAGGCCCCAACCCAGCAGGTGCAAAGTCCCTCAGGTGCACTCCGGGACAGGGAAGGGGCTCCTGGCCGGTCGGCAGAGTGTGCACACACAAGACCAGCACCTCGCACCCTGAGCTGGGACTCCAGGAGGAAGAGGCTGAAGTCACTGCCTCCTTCCGTGTAGTCCTGCGAGACCAGGCCTCTACCACAGCAGACCCGACCCTCAGTCAAACCATCCAGCGTGGAGTCCAGTCCTAGCAAGAGCTGTGGCCCAGCGTAGTGGCACACGCAGGTCATCCTGCCTCTCGGGAGCCTGAGGCAGGTGGGTCGCAGCAAGCTCAAGGCCAGCCTGAACTAGCATTGAGACCCTGTGTCAAAAAGCCAAAATAACAAAAAAGAACTGCCAAACAGTACATGTAACTTGCCATTCCTCAAACTCAGGGCCATATCATGGTATAGCAATGACGTCAGGAAGAATCTTGTAGAAATTAAATGAGATTTAAAATGTATACTGTCACAGGGAGCCCCAGCGGGCAGCGTGGAGCGGGAAAAGCTCACGCGGAGAAGGAAGCTGGCCTCCGCGAATGCTGCGCTGTCCCCGGAATCTCGGTGTAAGGTAGGAGGGGGGAGGAAAGCGGTCTGGGCCGGCTGGGGTTGCATGAAGGGACACGGGACAGCCGGCCTCAGGGACCCAACCTGGCGACTGCCCGCTCTCACCCTCACGCCCCGCCAAGAGCCCAGGCACCAGCGCCTTAGGGAGGCGCCCCAGATCCCTCATGAGGATACAGAAAGCGGCTCCTCCGGATGGCCCAGCTGAAACTTGACTTTTACAGTGGAGAAATGTGAGTGAAACAAAGCAGCATCCTTGGGGGGTCAAGGGCCGGCACGGGGTGGGCGGGGAAGAGGAGGAGGGAAGTTTCTCAAGATGAGATGTCTGTCAGGATGTCTGTCTCCCCCTAGCTCCCCGCCGGCTGGTTCCTTTCAGCCGCAGCCTTGACTTTGACCTACTATGTAGGGCATTCGGGTGTTATTTTGTTTTGTTTTTTGTTACGTGTGACATCGAACCCAGGACCTTCACACTGAGCTACATCTTCAGCCCTTTTTGTGTTTTATTTTTTTGAGACAGGTTCATATTGAATTGAGCTCTAACTTGCCATCCTCCTGCCTCAGTCTCCCAGGATGCTGGGATTTCAGAACTGCACAGCCCTGGCTGGCTAAGCATTTAGGTTTTGACACTTCTCTGCATCTTTGGGTCTTTAATTCCTTGTGAGGGCTCTCGTCCTGTGAGACACGTAAACAGGTGACCTTTTCTCCTGTGACTCTGTCCTGTGTCAGTTAAATTTGCAGCCCTGGTCAGATAACACTGAGAGGGCACAGATGAAATTTTGCTTCCCCTACACCCGTACCAGTGGTACTCAAACTTCCTTCTCAAATCTTCCTAAAGGCCAGGTGTAGTAGTGCATACCTCTAACCCCAGTGGTCTGCGAGCCTGAGGCAGGAGGATCACAAATTTAAACCCAGACTGAGCAAACCTTGGTTTAGAGACAGGGTCTCACCATGTAGTTCAGTCGGGCGTTTAACTCACAGTGATCCTCCTGCCTCAGCCTCCTGAGTACTGGGAGTACAGGCGTGCACCACCATACCCAGCTTAAGCAATTTAATGACTTGGTGAGACCCTGTCTCAAAATGAAAAAATAAATGGGGCTGGGGATTTAGCCCAGTGGTTTCGCCGCTTGCACAGGGTCCTGAGTTCGATTCCCGGTACCAAAATAAATAAATAAATAAACCATCGTGCTAACTGTGGCAGTGGGAGAGCAGAACTGGATCAGAAGGAGACCGGAGCATCCTCCTGACTGTAGGATGCGCGGCGTCACCACATGGCACAGCCGGGGTCTGAGTACACAAGGGTGAGAAGGTCTCGCGTGTCCTCCTCCGCTGCCGACCGCGGGTGACCCCCCAGAATCAATGACCCGGCAGCCCTCTGACAAGAATCCAGCCTCAGGAAAGACGTCTCCCGCCGCCGGTCAGCTCTTTCTCACAAAATTCTGAGAATGGCAAGTTTTTTCCGCGTGAATTTATGAGAATTGCCGATTGCCAGACTATTGCAAAGCGTGGTGTGACGGGAGGACTTTCCAGCTCCCTGCTGGTGTTCCTACACTGCACCAGTTCGCTGGCCCCTGGGACGAGGTCTGTTTCCCTTTCCGAGGACGGGGCAGTCACCGGCCAGGGCACAGCAGCGGCCGATGATATTCTTTATCACACTGGCATTTTCACCCCGGAAAATGTACCCGCAGATCACACTGAGAATCACTGTTTTTCCGCGAAGTAGGTACCAGGGCCGCACAAGGCCACGGGTCGGCACGGCC